ATTCTGACATTTAGTCATTTGATATGATAAAATTTCACGGTCAGAAGTCAGAAAGTTATTTTTTTAAATAAAAATTATAATTAAAATTTATTTTTTAAAAATAAAAACTATATTTGATAGCTTGTGATTTATTGTTTCAACTTTTATAATTTATAAAACAAAAATTATAATTAAAATTTATTATTTTTAATAATAACAAAATAATTTTTTATTTAAAATTATTGACTTAAAGATATATAAATTAATATTATAATATTTTAAGAGATTAGATTATTATCTATATAATTTAGATGGATTTTATTACCATTTTTTAAAAAGTTATTAACTACTTAACTATAGCTAATTTAGTATTTTAGGATTCATATGTTATTCTCCCTTGATAAATGCCCTCGTGTAGCCGTACACCCACGAGCTGATTTTGTGTGTGGGTGGAGACGGTTACGACGGCGTTGACCGTCGCTGGTTTATAGCCGGACAGAACCACGTGGGTCGGTGGCCATAGCCATTAACGTTGTGTTGTGTGATTTGCCAACAAAAGCGTGTCTTTTGCACAACAATTCGGCCTTGCTTCTCTGTTGGACTTCGTCGGAAATCGGTTCCCACTCTCGCCTGTGATTAGTCACATCCCACCCGCCATATAAGATGCATATGTTGCCATAAAAAAAATGGGTTAATAAAACTGAACGCGAAAGCTACATGAATCTATTTGTAATTATCACGAAATTAATGTGTAAAGACTATAATGATATTTATAATGAGAAGTCAAATTGTAAAAATCACAAATTTATATTTATAAATAGATTTTGTGGCCACGCTTACGTGTGTATTTGGTTGGCACGACAAGAAACTAGTCTTCGACGTCTTTTGGATGTCTGCAATCTGAAATATCATAGCGCTATCAATCTATTAACATATTTGGCCAAATAAAAAAAAAAAATCTATTAACATATGGAATCTCATGACACGTGTGACTACGATTTTAACTATTTAAGTATGCTTTCACATTCAGTTTTATTTCTCTAAATTGACATGAGATTATATTTAAGTTTATGTTTTTATGGATTTGGTTGCAAATATTGCTGTGCTTTGTGTAATAGCCCATAATAATAATAACAATAATAAGTATATATTTATAAGTTTGTATGTAATAGTAGTTATATTAATTTGGGAACATGTTTAGTAAAGAGAAGTTGGTAGAGTGGAACCATGCATGTTAGAGTAATTCAAGGTCCCAAGTTTGAATTCCTGGTGTAAGAAATGAGATTTTTATTTTGTTTAGTTCTTCTGAAATTACTAGAACACCCTTGCTCTATTAGATATATTTTCTTTCTTCTCTCTTTTATCCAAGTCGGTTTTACAGAATATGAGAAAGAGGTAGAGAAATTTGGAAGCTTATACCGATTCTTGCTCTTCGTTCTGCAGTGGTCACCGACTAATCTTCCCCTTCGTATTCTCATTGGTTGTCGGCCAGAGTGGAGCTTGGGCTGTACTAGGTTGATCTACCCATGCTTCTTGTCTCTATTTTCCTCTTCATTTTTTGCTCTATTTCTTCGAGTAGCTGTTGGGATGAGAGAGAGAGCTACGAAACTGCACCGAACTTATGCTTTATTACTGTCGAATCACTATCTTCTTCTTTCTCAACCAAGAGTTGCAGTCGTTTATGCCAGTCACCACCACTAGAGTGTCGCCGCTGTGTCGTTTGCTACTTCTGTCTATGGGAAGAAAAACACGTGAAATTGGGCTTGCTGGTTGAGGGTTGATCACCGAGCTTCATCTCCTCTGTTCGGCATTCCAGATTTTCTTTTCCTTCTCTCTGGTTGTCTGCCACTGTACAGCTTATTAGGGTTGAGAGTGTGAGGAAGAACGAGACCCTGACCAGAATTAAAGGTAAGGATATCTTTAAAAATTTAAAGCTCTAACGAGTAAGTGAATAGCATTCCTTATAATTATTTATTAAAAATCTTTTATTGAAATATTTCATTTTTATGAATTATGTTAGTTTTAAAAATTTTGAGATAACAATAAAGGATCGTTACATTATGATTTGTGCATTTTCTCAAAAATATCTTTCTAGTATTGATGAAGGCACCTTTACTTATTGAATTTGAAAATTTCTTGGTTACATGATTAGTGCAAGTTTGTATATTCACTATGATGTATTGATTTGGCAAGTTTCATATATTTGAAGCAATTCATGCGAGTTTGATCTTGAGAATGAAAATTTGACTTCACAAATAATTATTTCCCTCGTATGTTTGAAACGGGCTTTCTAAGAGAACTCTATACAGAACATTGCTACTAATGGCAATTCCGTTAGTCTGTAACGCGTTGTGTTTAAACACTAGCTAGTTTGTTTTGTGAGTTTTATTCTCATGTTTGGTATTCGTGGGCTTCGTACCCGCGTTTGATTTTGTGGTCTAAGCCGTGTTTGGTTATTTACCCTCGTGGGCGGTGTGTCCACGTTTGTTCCGTAGCTACAGCTGCATTTGATTACTTACCCTCATAGACTGGCGTGTCCACGTTTGTTTTCGTGGCATAAGCCGCATTTGGTTATTTACCCTCATGGACTGAGTGTCCACGTTTGTAATATGTTCTATTGAGTTCTCAAAATTTTAAATGTTGAGTATTATGTGTTTTCAAAATTTATTTAATTTTAACTAGTAATTTGTATCACTTTGAGTTATATGAGAGCAGATTGTTTTCTTTAAGCATGATAACATAAATTATTTTAATTTACTCTTATTTTATAAATATGGTTATGATTTATATGTTTATAAATTTTGATAGAATTGCTTTTAACTAGCTGACACTATTATTAGAAATTATTGATTAAAATTTTAAGAAATTTTTTATGGGAATGCTATTTACTAAAAAATTATTTTGGTCTCAGATTTGTTAGCTGACGCTGATCCCACCAACGACCTCAAAAAGGGCAATTAGCTACAATGGGTGGACCTTTTTGATTGGTATTGTTGCTTTAATGTAAATATATAATCTGTATGTCTATTTGATTTGAAAGAAATAGCAAATACTCCACATAGGTTGTTGATGAATTTTATTTTTGGTCTGTATATTGGTTGTTGGCTGGAAGGAACTACGCTCCTGATTTATACTGATATTTGTAAAATTTTTTGTTGTAGAATTTTTGAAAGATCCTAGTTACAGGGAAGGTTCTGCCTAAATTTCTACAAAAATGTTGACACTTTCTTATAACAATAAATTTAAAAAGGTTATTTTAGTTCTCATATGATTTGATGGAATTTTATTCTTCTCTTGAAAATGAAATAAATATTCATTTGGAGGCATACGGGAAGGTAAGAATGGTTCACACCTGTACCGGTCACCTTCTATTTTGGGGCGTGACACTTTGAATATGAATTCAATTGATCATAAAAAACAATCAATTCCAACAATACGAACCATACAATTTATATTTGCACTCAACAAATTTAAAAAAAATTAACTGATAAATTTATTGTTTGTGAAATAATAGTTAGAAAATTATTTTTATTTGCTTTTATTAAAATAAAAGGATAAATGAGAAAGATACCCTTAAACTTTAAATTTAATGATACCAAAACCTTGAATTTATTTATTGTGTAAATTACTCTCTTAATTTTTGAAACATTACAACTTGGCTTTTACTGTTAATAAAAATTAACTTTGATCATTAATTAATTAAAAAATAATATAAAAGGATATCAAAAATTACAATAAATGACTCAAAATTACAAAAGGATCAAAATAATTACAGTTGTATGATTGTGAGGTTCTTTTATGTCATTTTCTAATTAAATGATAGTCAAAATTAACTCTCATTAATTGTATAGGCCAGCTTGTACCGTTTTAAAAAGTTGAGAGAATAGATTATACAATAAATGAGCTTAAGATTTATAATGATACTAGTTCTAAAATTTAGCAGTAATTTGCTCAGACACCTAAATAAAAAATTATTAGAAATATAAAAATGCCGACCATTCAACTTTAATTGGTTCAGTCCAAATTTGGTGATAATCATTCCGAGACTTTTCACAGCGGTCATCAAAACTAAATCTTGTGACTCTGTGAGTGGTGAATCAATTAAAAATTCCAAACATGATACTAGCATTTTTATTGTAAGTTTCAACCACAGATCATACTAATTAAACGAAAAATAATAATAATATACTGATCTAATCACAGATTTTTGTTAAACATACTCGAACAGATGCTAATAAATATGCATGCTAACTTATTTCACCAAAAAAAATATATGCTAACTTGTTAAAATAAATTAGCTCATAGCATGGATGTTCATAATATTGGGCTAACTGAACCTCCCATGACATTTTGGAAGTGGACTGGGCTAGATTATCAGAAAGACGTGCCACTGTCAAGAAAGGATTCAAAGTTCCGCTCTTCCCTTCTCACTATCTTCTCTCCTTTTTATTTATTAACCTATTAGATCAAGATTTGAATGGTTGAGATTTGATATGTTATAAAATTAATATTAAACTGTGAAAGTATAAAAGAAATAAATAATCAAATTAAAAAAATTCCAAAATTTAATTCGAACAATTTAAAATAAGATTAAAAATGAAATAAAAATAATTATTTTCTAAAAGATCAAATCTAAACCACAGGAGAATCCTCTGCCTAGTGTCTAATCCATTTTGCTTTTCCCTTGTGTACTGTCTTTATCCATTTTCTATCCAAAAGCAAAAACAACAGCCTCGCAATATCTTTACGTGCTTTAGGTTTGTGCCAAAGCCTGACCCAATTCTCGCTTCCCTAAAACGGACACGTTAAAAACACTAAAGCCCAGTGGGCGTCGATATGGGCTACAGAAGATTTAATGTGATGAGCCCAATGTTGATTTGGACTCATACAGTGAGTCCAATTATGAGATTGGCTCACGGATTGGCGAGTCGCGATTCCCTGGATCCTCATGGATCCGCGTTGCACCATGCAAACCCTAAGCCCATTTCACCGCCGCCTCACTATATAATCTCCGTTGAGCCAATTTTCCCACCTCGATCGTCAATCGGCGCCGGTGAGGCTTAGAGACAGCAACCATGCAAATCTTCGTGAAAACCCTGACGGGGAAGACTATAACCCTTGAGGTTGAGTCTTCTGACACCATCGACAATGTCAAGGCCAAGATTCAGGACAAGGAGGGCATCCCGCCGGACCAGCAACGTCTCATCTTCGCCGGCAAGCAGCTCGAGGACGGCCGAACCCTAGCGGACTACAACATCCAGAAGGAGTCCACCCTCCACCTGGTGCTCCGACTCCGTGGTGGCGCCAAGAAGCGAAAGAAGAAGACCTACACCAAGCCCAAGAAGATCAAGCACAAGAAGAAGAAGGTCAAGCTCGCCGTCCTCCAGTTCTACAAGGTCGATGATTCCGGTAAGGTCCAGAGGCTGAGGAAGGAGTGCCCGAATGAGGAGTGCGGTGCTGGGACTTTCATGGCCAACCATTTCGATAGACACTACTGCGGCAAGTGTGGCACGACCTATGTCTACAATAAGGCTGGTGGTGATTAGAAATGGTGCTTTTTGATCATGCATTTGCTACTTTCTTGATACCCCCCCCCCCAAACTTTAGCGCTTTTTAGTAATTTGAGAATTAGTAAGAATTAAGAATTTAAGAATAGCGTGTTATCAATCGTGTTTTTGATATGGATCTGAATTGAATAGCTCTGTTATTTGATGCTTAATTTTCTTTCACCAATGAATCCATTACGCATGTTCTCTTGTTATCGCTAATCGCTATCTGGTTAAGATTTCACTGCTGCTTTAAAATTTCTTTCCTATAGGCTTTATGGTTGCTCCGAAAAGTTGTCTATTTTGCCATTGACGGGTGTGGCTTACCTCTGATAGACACTCTGCCTTTTTGTGTTGACTGTTGAGTTGCCATTTGAAATGTGATATTAGTGGTACAGTCCGTATCAGGCACCATTCCTTGTGAATCAATTCCTGAGATCACGTATATGTCGCATAATTGATGGCAATAGCTTGGGGGGTATGAAACTTGTCAGGATGAACTCGTGTAGTAGATTGTATTTATTCTAGTCTATCAATCAAGGAAGATCGTAGAAGTACCATTTCACCCTCCTATCCACGCTTTCATATTCCGATAAAGAATGATTTTTTGTCAGTCGTTACTTTCTGGTTGTATTCAGCAGAGCCATGGGAGGCTGTTATTCAAATAATATGATTCTGCATATTAACCTGTCCTGCTTCTTGGGAACACTTGCTCTTATCCATTCAGATTCTTAATGACGCTGTTGCTCTATGCTTTTTGATTCTCTGGGTATTATCTGACTATGAAACCGTATGAACAAGGTTAGGTTTTGACAGTGTTAGATTAGCTGTAGTGTTCCTTCAAGATGCTAGATTTGGCGTCTCGATTTGAATGATAACCCCAATGCTCTGGCTAAGTGGTGAATGTGATGCTTTCTTTTACTTTGACGCCCTTAATTTTCTTGTGTGCCTCCATCTCTAGTGTTCTAGGGAACTTGAAGAGGCCAATAAACATCTGTATGTACGTCGCTAGAAAGCTGAGTAGATTTTTATTGCTAGCAAGATTACTTATTGGAGTTGAAAATAATACTCGTGGTTTTCCGCATGCATGCTTCGCTCTCTGAAATCTGAATTCTGTCATATTGGTCATGTATGTGCGGTAGATCTGTAATTTATTGGGGCCTAAGACTTCCATTGTTGAAGTTCTTGTTCTCAGGAACTCTCACAGGCATTAGGAAAGAACGTTAGATGAGTTATTGGAAGAAAACACAAATGATCTTCAGCAAATTAGCAAGTAACTTGGTACTTGTGATTTTACATTCGTCAATATATACAAGTTAAAATCTAGAGCATTGTGATATCGATGCTGTATGAAGTTTGGTGCCAAAAACATGTAGAAGCGAAGAAAATTAGCGAAAATGCGAAGTCAATCAAATGGCCAAAAAATGATACGGACGAATCGACGAATTGAGTCAGCAAAGAGGTGTCACTTAGGTTTCCGGTATTGACTATGGTTTTGGTACGTATCATATTGTTGGGGTTCTAATCAATACATCAAATTCTTAATCAACCAAATCTAATTAAATGGTTTAGATTTGATGTTTTTATTTATAACTTTTACGAGAGAAGTTCATTTTTTTCCCCTCAAAGAGTGATGGAAGATTATCTTTATCCTAGATTTTACATATATTAAAATAACAAGCTTTAAAAATATTAAAAATAAAAGAATATTAATTTTGGATTCTCTAAATTCAATCTAAAGAGATTAGGACCATCTTCTCCCATGTCAAGTCCCAAAAAATGTGGGATTGAATTTTAGTCTTATGTCTCAGCTTGGATAACAAGTTGAAAAAAGAAGAGATAGAAAAATAAAAATTAATCAATTAGTCTCTACGACAATATTTAATTAATCAATTAGTCTTTATGACAATATTTACACCTTTAAATTTTGAATAATCAAGCATGCTTTTTTACTTTTTCCCAATAAAAATCCATTTGTTTTAAAGTATTATCAGTTAATAATCTTCACAAGATATAAAATAATGAGAATTATTGTAAATTTAACATAAAATAAACTTGTAAAATTAAAAATCAATATATTACCAAAAATTACAAGTTGAAATACACAAACATGAATCTTAAAAAGGGAGCAGTAAAATTGGTATGACCATAATATACAAAAAAAAAACTTAAATTCAGTATAATATTTATCAAATCACACTCCTTCTTTGAGCCCAAAACAACACAAATAAACAACCATAAATCACGAGATATTAAAAAAATAAAATAAGTTTATTATTTATAAAATAAAAGAATGAAATAAAATTAATACATACAAGCACAAATACTCATACACACATATTCGGGAAAGAACAAAGCATCCTGATGCTAAATCCATTTCTCATCCTTTCCTGGCACTATTTTGTTCTAGTTTCGTTTTGTCTCGTCTCAATTTTTTTCTGGCCAAAAACAACCTGTTTCTGGTAAATGCAATTATTTTTGGTAATGATGCTGAAGTTTCAATTCCTTTTTATTGGCTTGGAAGATGGTTGTCCAAAAAAAAAAAAACACACACACACACCCACAAAAAGAAAAAAATGTTATTTTATTAGCTTATTAGATTTGTTAAATCCTATTAGTAACCTATGTAACACGGATACTTCAAAAAAGTAAACGTACCCGTATTCGATACGTATCCGATACGATACTTGTATGATATTTCTGCATACGTATCCCATATTCTAACATTTATTATATGATTTTTTTTCAATAATTTTTTACTATATCACTTAAAAACTTGAAAAAACACTTAATATTTTAGTTAATTACTATAAATATCCATATATTACTTTAAAAATTCTTGTTTAAAAATTAAAATACCTATACTTACATCACAAAATGTTGAAATATACATTATAAATATTCCCGTACCCGTATCGTAAAATTTTAAAAATTTGCCATATCCCCATATCATGTCTTATCATATTGGATACTTGTACCTGTATCTATGCAACCTAATCAGCAACTTGGATTGCCCAATTACAGAAAATTGTTATTTCTAATTTTCTCATTAACCTAACGATTTTTTGTTTTTTTGATACAATAGTATTCTAGATTTTAGATATTAGAGTATGGACTTAAAATTTCACCAGCCACCTGACCAACTCGATCCAAGTCCATGAATTCCTACCCCAATAAGGTTGTATTGTAGCCGTGTAGGGTATCTTGAGTCTGACAAGACAAATTTGCAAAGGCAATTTTTAGCAAAAAATAAACAAAAAAACAAAAACAAAAACAAAAAAACGAAAGCAAATAATTGACTATAAATTTGTATACCATTAACATACATGATACATGGCATTGTAGTAAACTGGAAATGGATTCTTTGCAATTATTGCTGGGAAATGCATGGACGAGTAATGTTAAATTAATATTATGCCGCTTTATAAAGTTAATTTTGAACATCCTATACTTTTTTTCCCATGATATGACTAGTTGATTGGGTTAAATTTGAATATAATTGGATTCAATTAAAAAAATAATGTTCAACTTATTAGATTTATTCAACTAGATATGTTTTGTTCATTATATAAAATATGAAGAATCAACCTATTCATGGCATGTGAATGATGCAGTTTATATTTTGTTATAGTACATTGATATTGATTTATGTATGCAATTTTTTTAATATTTAAAATGGAATTGAACTTTTTAAATTTACAGATACATTTCTTCTCTCTTACCTTCATTTATATTTATCTTAGTTCTCCATCTTTTCTCCTTTTTCTTAAGTTACCTTAACCTTTTTCCATTCTTGTAATGACTACCGGATATTTGCGACTATTAACAAGTAATTCACGTTTAAGCACTTGTGGAATTTGCATGAGAATAACACTCCAAGTATGATTTCTTTTCTTCTATATTATTGGAACCATCTATGTTATTTTAAGGATATCAAGTCATTTTATTCAACCTAACAATCATTAATAAGTTATCTAAAAAACAAAGTAGAAGAGACTAACATCCATTAGTTCTAGAAGAAGGGGCAATACCCGTTTAAGTACGAAGCCTTAGTTTGAGTTTGTATGAATGTATAAAACTTGCCTTAGTTTGAGTTTGTATGAATGTATGAAACTTTCATGGCAAAGCTTTTCTCAATTGTGTCAAAAAATGCACGAGTCTGACCTAGTTAGATTGCCATATAAAAAAACAAAGTAGAAGATTATATGAAATTATTAATTATTTTTAAATATTTATTTTTTCAAAATACTCTATTGCTACTAAAGTCAATAATTCAAGCAAATCGAGCTTATTTGAATTGAGCTTAAATATTTTAACATATAAAAAAATCCATATAACTAACTCCAATCTTAACCCCTCTGACTTTCAAGTTTATTTGGGCTAGCCCAAATGCTTAAAATGTTAAATATTATTTAATGTCATTTTAATTTTTATTTTAAAAAATAATATTTTCAATTTTTATCTTATTTTTATATTATTTTATTAATAAGAAAATAGAAATTTGGGTATTCAAAGTAAGCCAATTTGGATTTACGCTTGACTTAGATTTTTTTGAGTTTATTCAAATGACCCAAATAAGTTGAACTGAAAAAAATCTTTTAAACTTATTAAAGTCAGTTCTAAGATTTTTTAAATTTATTCGAATTAGCCCATTGAGCTTGAGTCAAATTACTACCTCAAGTTGCTATTAATAACAAGTCTTATGTCCACCCCTTCAGCATTTATAAATATTTTTTTTTTCATAAAGCGTTTATAGATACATTGAATTAAATATTGATGCTAAACATAACATGTGGGTGTGACAAATATGAGAACATAGAATTGAAAGCAAAATTCTAGCCACCTTATCACTAATATTGCAGTTCACCCCAAAAGCCCAAATATATGTGGAAGTGAGGAGTAACTGCAAAAAAAAAAAAAACAGAGTAGGTGAAAACTTTTGGCCTGACTTTTAATTGATAAAATCGACACCTCTTTGTATCACCCTGCAACGATTAATGATCTGATATTGGACTCACTTATTCATCTCACCTCGAGTTCAAATGCTTACTTAGTCCCTTTCTTGAGCATGAGCTTCTACATCCCATAATTAATGACATAGCCATTACAGTCTTCTTCTGGGTTCTGATGTGTTCTCTTCAATCTTAATTTCCTCTACTGCTATATAGTAATTCATGCCTTTAAATGGCTTGCATTGCTTTCCGTTGCACAGTTTTCTCAGGTTCATGAAGAAAGCAAAAGTTTCTGTGAGTCAAAAAAAGAGTTCAATCCAAGACTGACTTTCCCTTGTGCGCAAAAACACAGCTTTTGAGTGGTGTTCTCTATGTGGTTGCCTTCCAAAATAAGATGCTTTCTCTCTTTCATTGGCCACATTAACTTTTTTCCTTCTCTTCAGATAGATGTCATGTGGAAAGAAGCTTCTTATTGCTGCTTCATCAATTCTTCAGTGCTCATCACTTCCCATAAGTAGCAAGTAAGGCCAAGATTTTGAGGAAGACTAAATCCTCATTTTGCTGTTCCCAAAATCTTTCTGTATTGCTTTTAGTATCCGAGGGTTAATTTTGCTCTAATTTCATATTTTTGCGATCATGAAATAGGAGTTTCCTCTTTCGAGATATTAAGAGCAAATGATAGACTCCTTTCAATTAGGTTTGAGGATCAAACTTCTAACCGTTTACTTAAGGGACAAGATTACCTATCACTTATGCCAACTTAAGTTGGGGTAGTCATTGGGGTGTTAAAAAAAAAAAAATTTTTAGTCTTGAAACAATCAAGAGTACCAAAGAAAAAGGGATTATAAATTGGTGCACTTCTCGTCATGCGAAAGAAACCCTAAACACAGAAGTATATATTTGCAGGTCTTGATTTAATTTCTACAACCCACAGAGACAGCGTTCACTTGCTTTGTCCAGAAAGACATGACTAATGTATTTAACATAAGCAAAATATTTTCACGAATTTGGTCCTTGGTAGGAACTAGTCTCATTCACTCCTGAATAATGGAACATGGCCTTGCAGCAGTGGTCACAGGGTTCCCAACGTTGCCCTGTGCAGTGACACAAAGAGGAAGGTTATCACTTTTCAAATTGTCCCATGTCAATGCATATGACAAAAGATGAGTGTTTGACATGTATCCAACATAAATACAGTTCTATTTTTAAATTATTTGTTTTTCTCTTTTCTCTTTTTCTAATGGATGCTTCTCCACTTACAAGATGCTGAAGAAGTATAGTGTCTCCTTATTTTCATATTTACCTTCGTGTGGAATAACATTTGAAGAGGTTAAGGTAAGAACAAGCATTGGAACTCAATGTGAAACGAAAAGAGATGGAAAGTGACAGATAGCAAGAGCACAGAAAGTGGGGTTGGTTCTGTTTCAGTGGTCAATTGTATTTGCTCTCTTTCAGGAAAGACAAATCCTAAGATTCCATTTTCCCTTCCCCATGCAAAGTCTTCTGTGACTTGAACTTCCCTCCTATCTCTGCACTTTCACTTTCATCAAAGACAGAGAAAGAGAGAGAGGCTTAGAGAGGCAGGAGTGTCAATAAAAGAGAAAACAACACATGAAACAAACAAGTGCTTTGAACTCATTCTGTAAAGTACCATAGAAATTTGGGCCACTTCAATCGCTAGAAGAAGCTTGCAAAGTCTCAAACTCCTTCAGTTGCTCAACTATAATTTATTTCAATCATGAAGAGGCATATAAATATATTGGAGATAATCTCTATTGAAAAGATGTGTTTGACATGCAAGTTAGAAAAATAAAAATATTAAATAATGATAATAAGATCATAATAGATATTATCCATCTCCTTTTTTACAGTGGAAATGGAATTTATTTCTCTTGATTAAGAGTGCCTATTTTCAACTATAAAAGCTTCCTTGTGGGTTGGATTTTCATTCTCGCTTTTTCTCATACAAATCCTCATTCTTGCAATCATGTCAACACTCAACCATCTTTTTGGCCTTCCAGAGCAAATATGTTACGTTCAATGTGGATTCTGTACCACCATTTTAATGGTAACTAATGAACAGTCTGGTCTTTAAGAATCTGATTCATTTGCTTTTAACTTCTTATTACTAACTTCTTTCTTCCACTTTGTATTTTCTGTTTTCAATTCAATCTTGAGCTGCTACAGGTGAGCGTCCCATGCAGCAGTTTGTCTATGGTGGTGACAGTCAGATGTGGACATTGCACAAGCCTCCTCTCTGTTAATATGATGAAAGCTTCTTTTGTCCCCTTTCACCTTTTAGCTTCCTTTACTCATCTTCAGGTATCCGATACTCTCAAAGAAAAAGGAACTTAGGTTCAATAGGTGTTTTTATTTGTTGTTAAATTTTTTATATTCCAAGTTGAACTTTTCTTTTAACGTAACTGTTAATATTTGCAGCCAAAAGAGGGAAGTCCAGAAGAGGAAGCAAGCAAGACTTTGGACAGCCATAATCATAATGGATCCATGATGACCTATTCTGATTGTGAGGAGGAAGGGGACGCGATTCCTATGAGTATTGTCGTAAATAAACGTACGTAAGACTACAGTAAAATTTTTCATAATCAAGGGAAAAAAAAAAGAAAATGAGAGTTAGATTTATGCTTATGTCATATTTTCTTAATCCATCAATTTTACAACTAATGGCTACTTTCTTCATAGCCCCAGAGAAGAGACAGAGAACACCATCAGCTTATAACCGATTCATCAAGTAAAATTTTACCGTATAAGTTGTCTTGTTTCATTAAAAGATGAAGTTCAAATCATGAAATTGCTTTACATTGATGCAGAGAGGAGATTAGAAGGCTAAAGGCTGAAAATCCAGACATGGCTCACAAGGAAGCTTTTAGCACAGCTGCAAAAAATGTAAGTTTCAGGAGTTAAAAAAACTCAGCACTTCATTAAATTATTGTTATAATATGGTGAACTCAAAATCTGAACATTTTGTTTTTATCATTTTCAGTGGGCCTGCAAAGGAGATGAAGAAAGCTGCAGCCAGACAGAGCAACTTGTGGATCTTGACTGTCATGAAGATGCTGAGGTAAAACCATCATTGCTTTGTAACATTTGACTGAAACATGTATCCGATCAAACTTCTCTCATTGTGACTGAAACATGTTGCTTTAGCAAGTTAGAGCTAGCAATCAGTATTCAAGGTGCTTTATCAGATATTCAATCTGAAAGGATTGGCTTAATCGCAGAAGTGAGTGTATAATGCATGATTCATCACATTGTTTCAAGTTCAAATGTTAGCCTTGTCAATTTATTAGTTAGGATACACTTAAGTTGACTCTGACATTACATTATAACAATCACAAACAACTTTTCCCAGATAAGACAACATAAAATGAAATCCTTGTAATATGTTTTGGTAGTCACTTCCCAGGCAGCTTCCTGAGTATGCCATCATAATTTTCAAAGGGTAATATATGTATGTATGTATGTATGTACACACACTTTGAAATTTTGAATTAGACAACTTTAAACCTGCCATGGTTCTGGGCTAGTACATAATGCCTTTGGAATGAGTTAATGACATGATGTGTGAAACATTGGATCAGGTTAAAGAAGAAGAAGAAGAGGAAGGCCAAGGTTACCGTGAAAGAAAGGTTCCAAGGAATTCCATCTGGGCAAGGACACCATTTGAGTGATCAAAAGATAAAGAAAGGCTAGCTGTTTCTGTGTCTCGATCCTTTTCCTTCTGCAGAAAGATTCTCTTGGGAATGAAAACCGTAGCTTGCAGACAGTGCACGATAACTATAATTAATAGCTTTTTGTTTTTTGGACTTCCTGTATTCATGCTTCAAGCCCCATTAGTCTGGAGGATAAGAGGTTAGGTTTGTGGTTAGAATATGCTCGGGTTTCATAGTAGTCAATATTGAATATGCCTCTATACCATCTTGATCTATATTTAGACTTGTCTTGTTAACTTGAAAAAGACACAGCTTCGTGTTAAACAACCTTTTCGTCTCTATCTTTAGTAAGGTAATACAAACAAACGCACAAATATACAAAAGAGGTAGGCACAGAAGTTTCTAATACAACTTGCTTATCACAACCAGTAATCATCACTCTCAAGCTAGTATTTTATAAGAATTTAACCCTGATCCTTCTTGAACTTGATAGTAACTGGTAACATAGTTCCCGATTCTTTTTGTAAACATAGGATTACACAGTGATTCCTCCCAAATTCTCTTATTTCCATCGTTTCCTTCTTGGTAATCATGGTGCCATTTGAAAGCTTCTGCCTGAAACAAAGAATAAGAATAAGTATCAGTAACATAAAAACATTTTTTTTTTTTGGTTTGGAAAACTTAATGCAATCATGACAATCTTGAAATAATACATAACAAAATACAGTTTTTTCTTTTACCATTGATAGGCCTGGGAGAGAAATTCTGTGAATAATATGCCCTAAAGAAGTCTTTGTTCTCTTTCTGTAACTCTTTCCACACTGTAAAGAAAGGAACAAACTTTACTCGAACCAGAAGGCAAATTTCCCAAAAAAAAAAAAACACACACACACACACACACACACACTCACAGTTTGTCAAGTTGTGTACCTGTAAGGGTAACAAGTGGGGTGATGCTGGCATGCTCTGCTAGAGCCTTAATGCACTGGTCCAGGCTCATATGAAGGAGCAAGCATCTCTCAATAAGATGTTGAACCTGCACATTGATGTTTTCATGCATGAAAATGAAGTTTATAACATTTCTGTGAAGAGTAGTTTTGAAACATGGCAGATGATGAGACGGGGTGAGAGAGAGAGAGAGAAGATTCTTACCATCCTAATATAGGAATGTGGGTGGCAATACAAACAAAGAAGAGGATGTTGGTGAGTGTGATGCATGTTGTTCTTGATCTGTAGAAACAGGTTAAGCAGTGGACAAAACACACAAGAAGGAATATAGAAGAAACAAAACAAAATTAAATAGCAAAGGAAAAAGGTGCATGAGGAGAGAGAGAGAGGGTTAGATGTTTTGGGGAGGTTCACTTCTTATCATAAGCAAACAGATGAGAGCCTCATGGTGGTATATCCATTCATATCTCAAGTGAAGGGCCAAAATGGCTCAACAAATCCGAACCTTAGATTCATCCCATCTATAGATAAGGAAGCTAAGATTGATGTGATCTGTCTCTCTGTTTTTTTTTTTTTTTGGGGTTCCCGTTTAGACATTAAGTAGCTTTCTTTTACACCAAACAAACCTGGGTCCTACGTTCTTGAATTGCCATGAGTATGTGGAGTGGTCCTCTCATCATTATTATTAGAGAAACTTCATGATGTGAGACTCATAATAATATCACTCTGTTTGAAAGTTAACATCCCCTATAACTCCATTCCACGGCATTTTGCCTTGTTTCCTACTAATCAAGACTCTTCTTGGGTGGTATTCTTTGTGATACCAACCTCTCAATGAAAACATTAACGTTATAAATATAAATTTAAAGAGAGATTTCATCCTAAAAGACTAACATATTAGATGAAAGGACTATTTGAACTTATAAACACTCACTTTATTTGTGAAGTTTCCCCACATGGTACTCATTACATAAATCTTTTTGGTTTGGTAAAAGTGAACGTGGTCGGCAGAGCTAGAACACGAAGGTTTGGCCTCATGAACATGAAAATAAAGTTCCATAGAAAATGATAACACTAATGTCTAAACAAGTTTAATTATTTTAATCATCATGATAATGCTGTATCCTTAAAATTCACAGAATGTGGTGTAAAATTCGTGGGTTACTAGTTCTGACCCTAAAAAATATTAAACTCTGGTCAGATTATTTTAGTATTCTCAGCGTAGCCCTGATTCTGTTGTTGTGCATGGAGCATGGAGGCACGTAATCTCCTGTTCTTTCAGTACTTCGAGCCCTTGCTATATTACTTCACGTGATTTACATGAGTTCCTTAGTTCAACTTTGTGTTCATCACCATGGTATTTATCAGAATGATGAAATTTGGACCATCTAAATTTTGATCTGTATGGTCCAGATTTAAAATATTATTATATATTTTTATTTTATATTTATTAAAATCAAAATTGATAAATTATAAAAAATAATTTTTTTATCATTAATCTTGTCTAAATTTAATTTGAAGAGTCTAATTTAATATTAAAATTTTTATAATCGTTAAAATAAAAATTGTAAAATATTTTTAATATTTTTTTATTTTCAATCTAGGCTAGATTTAATTTAGAGAGTCAAATTTAATAGTAAAATTTTAACAATTATAAAAAAATTACTTTAATAAATATAAAATAAAAACATATTTCCTTCGTTTAAAAAATGTAAAGCATTTTTAACTGAATCTCACTTTTCAATAAAATAGTTACATACTTTTCAACTAACCCTATGTTTTCATATTTATCCCTATTAATCACCCTACAATAAATATAAAGTCATTATTAATAAGGATACTTTTAAAAAAAGGCAATGATTACATATCCAAAGACTAAAAATGTCTTATATTATTGAACATCTAATCTCTCATAAATGCCTTATAATTTAAAACGGAAGAAGTATAATATTATTTTAAATTTAAATCATCCAAATTAAAATTTAAATGATACATATCTTATCACACTAATGAGCACTTTGATGTGGTGGTCACCAGTGTGATGGACATCCAAGACGAACCTAGCTCCTTGCACATGGTGAGCATTTCATTTTCACTTAAATTTTAAGAATTCAAAAGTTTTCATGGCGTCGCTCATCATAAAAGTTAAAATTAGTTATTTTTTGGCCGAAACAAAATAAAATTAGTTAAAGTTGGTTAAACTAACTAAATATATGACAAAACATTTTTTTTTTGTTTTTTCATTCAGTTGAAATTTTTTCTAGTAAATTTCAAACTTCTTTCTCATGCTATCAATTCGGGGAATTTTACAAAAAATATATTCAATGACTTAAATAGTGATTTGTATTTGCTGCCCCTAACAAGAACCATATATTTCAGATGGGAGAAAGAAACTTCAAACGGAGTGAAATTTTAGTGAATGTGTTAAAGGCAACTTCAAGTTAATGAATGAAAATCAAATACATAAAAATGGTGGTTGTTTCTAGCCTTAATTAATATGGGATCAAAAACTATTACAAAGAAATCATAGTTTTCGGTTTTTAGAATTGTAATCAATTTTAGTCAAGCCCTTATAATTTTGTCATTAAAAAAATTAATCCTTGGAATCGTGGTCAATTTTTAACTGAGGTTAAATAGCAAAAATGTCTAAAAATATTTTCTTCAGGAGTGTTCAGTATTTTTAAATCAAGAAAGATACAAAAGTATCCATTAACTCTTTTTAATAAAAATCTTTCTCTGAAACTATTAAAATAACTTAACGTCTGTTAATATAGACTCAAAAAGTTGGGTTAATAAGAAAAATACCTAAAAAAAATTTTCCATAAACTTGTGGTATTTTTAAGTCAAAAGGTTTTTGGAAATGTTTACATCTTATACTTACTTTTTTTTTTTATGATTAACATTAACAGATATTTGATAAATTTAATGGGATAAAGAAGAATTCCCTTACTAAAAAAGTTTATGAATATCTATACATCATTATTGACTAGATGCTTCTAGCCCTTTAACCCTTTATTGAAATCCTTGCTATTACACAAGATTGTTATTACATAAGCAACACATCCAGCATCTTGTAATCATCTTTACTTTGGAAGTTCATAAATAAAATCGAATCGAGTAAATGATTTTTTTAGTCTTATTTGTAATCCATATTGTTAAAAATTTTTATCACATTTTCTTTTTTACCGCTATCAAGTGTTGATATAAAAAATGCATTATTAAAATATAAACATACTCTCACAATTTAAAAATATAAATATTTTTAAAAGATTAGAAGTTAAAAATGCAAAGTATTTTTAACATTTTAAAATGCAATTAATATATTTTTTAAATATACATCTTAAATATACATCATAAATAAATTACTTTATATTTATTTTAAAATGAAACATCCTATTAAATAAAAAAATAGAAAAGATTATATTAGTTTGTAAACAATTAACTATTTTATTGGGATAAAATTTAATTAAAAATAACTTATATTTTTTAACTAATAGAGCATATATTTAATAAAGCTAAAATTTGAAACTTAATTTTAAAAGAGTTATGAATTTTAAATTTTTTTCTCTCTGATAAAACATATTAAAAATAATTCATAAACAAAAACATAAGAAGTAACTGTAAACATTACACATTCATTTTACTTTTTAGCTCAAAGTCACTAAGATCTTGGTAACTCGGTTGGTATCGTCAATGGGAAAGAAAACAAATGCATTTGATAAAATATCAATATTCTATCATAATTTCATTAGCATTGCTTAAGAATAATTATTTTTATTCACAACTTTCTAATTCAAGAGGAGAAAAATACTTTTCATCCACAAAATTATTTTTCATTTCATTTTCTATTATAAATTCAATTCAATAGACCAAACTGAACATAACCATAAATGTTCTAACTTTCCTGACATAATATTTCTATATCAAAGACTGATACCATATACTTTACAAAAAAAAAAAAAAAGCACTGAAGAAGCTTTTTATTATAGCAAAGCAAAATGTAAAGCTGTTTGCCTTAAACAAAGTAGTGAATCAAAAATCATAACTAGCATACATTGAAAAATAAGCTTCTCGTCCCCCAAAAATTACAGAGGAAGAATCCCAAGGTTACTTTCTTTTATATCCACTTCTTTCGGAGACTTGTTCTCTGAATATAATATAAAAATATATACTTTTCTTAATTTTATTTATAAATCACTTTTAATATATTTTATAAAAATTAAAAATATTCTTAAACCTCATAAATTTTATCTTCAAATTTAATAAATTTTTACCTTTATTTATAATAAATATTTTTAAATCTCATTATTAATATTTTTATTCATAACGTTTAATAAAAATAAGAATATAACAACGAGCATTGAAAATTGATAAACGTCCTACAACTAGGATTAACTTTTTTCTTTTCTATATCTTATAAATAGAACCAAAAGAGTATAAAAAAAGACTAAAAAATCATTTCCATCACAAGCCAATGTAACTAAAATAGCGCTACGTACTAAAACACAACCTACTCTAGTTTATGCTTAAATTAAATTTTAATGGAAAATTACTGTTTTCTAGTCCTCTGGCTAAAATCGCTACAATTCTCCCTTAATCTTCAAAAACCCATTCGGGTGTTCTGATAAACCTATTTAAATTAGTCTTTCAAGTCACTGGCAAACTTAACCAACTTCATGAGTTATGGATATTAAGAAATGGTAGTTACACTTTCAAATTTGTAAATAAATGTGACTTTCCAATTTTGCCTTTCTTTACAATTGATAATCAAAACAAATTGCAGTGTAGGAATTCAAAATACACAATCAATTTTCTGCAAAGTACCAATAAAAACGCTCAATGCCCACAAACACAATGAGCCCCTCAATGATTAAACAAGGGGTAAAATTGGGGAGAAAATTAATTACTCTGACTTGGCCCTATAGTAAAGACCAAGAAGAGCTTTGAAAGTTTGCCCTATAATTGGGGCTGGAGGGAGTGCATTATTTAATTTCAGAGACCGCTGACAAATAGTTCCAAACTATAATTAATACAGTTGTCACATTTGAGTTCTGACAATCACCCTCTAAGCTAGCTAGATATTACACTATTGACCTAATCTTACTTCTAGACCTACCTGACCATTTGAAGAAGAAAACAAAAGCTAGGGAACATTCATTACACGTGACTCGACATGAAGAAACACAGACAACATCAGGGTTCATCCATAATTTCATATGCCTTCTCCTTAACTGGGCTCAGACTTCTCAAGAGCTGCAACCAAAGGTACCAAACATTGCGTGTTGACTAAATCAAAACTTTGGAAACAAAGACTTGAACAGGAAATCAAAAGGGAAGACAGAGCTTACAGTTGTAGTTCAAAAGCTTCTCGATGAGGTCAACATGGGTCATAAGCATTCGTCTACAGCAATAACGAACCAACCCCAAAGCATC